CGATAAGACCTTGTAACCTATAATTAGAAGGTTGATCCCGCGGTAGTTGGCACGCATGGCGAGGTCGCCTTTCTTGTGGATTGGGCAGACCTCACTTGAATTCCAGTCGTCGGACATGCACCTTATTAGCTTCTTGCCATCGTAACTGAATAGCTCGCCCGACAAGCCCTCATCTCCAGCAGCTTTGTTACTTTTCATCAGCATGATCGCTATTCGTACCTCGTCATAGTCAGGCGCTGGGATATCGACTGGGACCTCGGGTTCGTCTTCTCCACTGCTTTCAGTGTATCTACCATTCAAAAGGGTCGAGAATTGTTGGATCCATAATTTGAGTACGTTCTGGACATCGGTCACTAGGCCACCATGGTTGTTCCTACAGGAGTCTTAAAACCTTCCGTAAGTCGCTCAACTCTCTGCTAAGAATTTCGGGTGTTTTTTCTGCCGGCCAGCATTTCAAGCTCTTCGCACTCACGTATCTCGACCTCTCTTCTTATTGCGGCAAATTCATTTAGCTGCCCTCTTCAGTTCTCTATAACGGCTTCACAGCGTGGTCCTTTAGGCGGCACCTTTTTTCTCTGCAGCTTCTTGACACTCCTCATCGTACAAGTAATAAGCGGGAAATGTGGTTCCACTGCTCGCGTATGTCGGTTTGTTGAAGAGTGCTCTCTCACAGCAGCTGTGGGAGTCAAGTGGCGAATCCTTTGGCCGTCTGTTTTGATTTCAGCTTTTCGACGTTTTACTTTCCTTGCATTGTTGGGCGCACATTTTTTCCTGCACCTTGGTGGGTTCGTATATATAATACGTAAATATTTATTTATTTATTTACGAATAGTGAGACTACAACTAAATTATAGTACAATATATATTTATAAAAGCTTTGGCGTCGAAGGCCTTAAGCTAAATCATTTTATATTTTTCACGTATATACAATATGGAGTAGTATATGTTTAGGTATTGTAAAATATGTCTTGTATTGCTCGCTGTATGTGGGTTTTAAAGATAAGAAGTGCGTTATATTTGGTTGTATAAATTACAAAATTTTAGATATTGTATTAACTTTATTTATTCAATTCATTTAGTAAGTTAGTCGCCTTGATATTGTGAAGTGACTGTCGATAGTTNATATTTTGAAGGGTCATTTAGTAAGTTAGTCGCCTTGATATTGTGAAGTGACTGTCGATAGTTAGCGAAAAATGTACATGTATCTAGGATGTGTTGTGTATTAATGGGCTGCTGGTTACAATATTTACATGTGTTGGAGGGATTTTTATTATCTATTAGGTGCTGGTGTGTAAGCTTGGTATGTCCTAATCGAAGCCTAAGGATTTTAATTTGATCTCTTCTGGTTAAAATATTAGAATCGTTTCTAAAGTAACAATTTATTGATTTAGCAATTTGTGTAGTGTTTTTATACCATTGGGAGGATTGATTGGAGGAATATGTATGGATTTTTTTTAAGTGGGTTGCCTAGTTCTGAGAATAAAAGGTTTGGGGTGGTGCTAAGCGGTACTTTTAAGGCGTGTTTGGCAGCTGAGTCAGCAAGTTCGTTGCCTGGTATTTGAGCGTGACCTGGTACCCAAATCAGCTTTACTTTGTTTTGTTTTTTTAAAAGCATGTTTCTAATTGAGTTTGTGTAAAAGTTGTTAGTATCTGGATTAGCTATGGCTTTCAAAGATGATAAGGAGTCCGTGCATATAGCGTGTTTGTGGGGAAGTTTTGCGGCATATTTGACACTTCGTGGATTGCAATTAACTTTGCGGCAAAGTTGGAACTGTATAAAGGTAAGTGGGCTATTTGTATGATTTTGTTATTTTGTACTTTGCCATAGGATGATTTTCAGTTTATTTTAGAACCATCTGTGAATAAAAATTTTAAGTCTTTGAGAATTTCCTTTATAGCGTAAAATTTTTGTTTATACGTAGCGGGAGGTGTCATTGTTTTTTTATCTGTGCTTAATTCTGTATTAATTATTGAGTTGTTAACCATCCAGTGTGGTGATACGGGTTTCTCGTGTAATTTAGAGTTTAAAGGTATTTCAAATTGCAGTGCAACTTTTACAATTCTATTAAAACAGGATGGGGTTTTGGCTAGTTTGGAGTGGGTTAGTTTGGAAAGCAGGGTAGGTAGAGGGGAGTGGTCTTTTAATATCAGGGATTTACATAATGTAGCAGTGGCAAATTCTTTGTTAATATTTAGTGGAAGAAGATACAAATTTCTAACTGGTGTTGTTCTGTAGGCACCCGGGGCTATTCTAATACTGGAGTTGATAATAGAGTTTAGTTTATTGGTAAGAGATTTGGGGCAGTATGCGTAAAGGTATAATCCGTAGTTTAGTTTTGATATAATTCATGATTTTACTGCTGATATTAATGAAGTTGTGTTACAGTGGTATTTGTCGTTAGAGAGGCATTTAATGATGTCTAATCATTTTGCCAGAGCGGCCGTTAGGTGCTCGATGTGACTGTTCCATTTATATTTTTTTTATTAAATACTAGTCCGAGAATTCTAAGGTTGTCGACAGTGGAAATAGTAAAGTTGTTACAGGTTACGTTAGAAGAGCAGTTAAGTTTTCTGCAAAGATGAATTTGTTTACATTTTTCCAGGGACAGTTCGGCTCCTGAGTGCTTACACCAGTTACAAATGTCCTTGTATAAATCGTCAATATAAAAGGAGACTCTTTTATTTTTGTTCATTTTCTTAATAATTATAAAATCGTCTGCATAAGCTAAGAAATCTAGTTGTTTGTGAAGTGAAATTATGTTGCAGAGTTCATGGTTTGCAATAAGATATAGTATGACCGACAGAGGAGACCCTTGTGGGATACCATTTTGCAATGAAAATGTTCGGGAGTAGTGGGATGTTATTCTTATTTTAATATTTCTGTTGTTCATATAGTTTTTAACATATTGGAATATTTTAGGCCCTATATTCCATTTTTTAGCTGGTCTAGGATAGTGTGGACTCCTATTTTATCAAAGGCTTTTGCAAAGTCGAGTGATATTATTGACAGGTGTTTTTTAGTTGAGAGGAATTGAGTGATCTGATAGTCTAAGTAAACTAGAAAGTCAGACACTGATTTGCCCTTTTTAAATCCCATTTGATGACTATGTAGCAGCTTGTCAGATGTTACAAACCACCATAGCCGATTAGCAATAATCTTGTCTAATACCTTTGAGCAACATGGATTAAGTGAAATGGGTCTGTAAGATTTAATAGAAGTTTTGTCGGAGTTGGGTTTCAGAATGGGAACAACTAAGCTATTTTTGTAAATTTGTGGTATATAATTATTGAAGATGTTATTGTAGTGTTCTATCAGTCGCAGTTTTACTTTTATATGTAAATTGTTGATCACTGGGTAAGAGATCCAGTCAAAGCCGGGGGTCTTGCCATTTGGCTTGTTAAGAGCCAGTTCCAGCTCAATGTAGCATATTTTCGTTTCAATGAATGTACCTGATTTACTTGCGTTTAAGATGTGATTTTGGGTAAGAGCTTTTTGTTTGCTTTGCCGAAACGTCGCGGAGAATTTATCGTTTAGTGCTTGGTTGGACCAGTATTGGCCAATTCGTTTGCAATTACAGTTTTGTCTGTTATTGCAGGTTGATTTGGTTTTTTGGTGTTAAGACAATGGATTGCGGGGTTACGTTTGACACCGCAGAAGGTGCCCCCCTTTTACATATTTCCCCTTTTACATATTTTCAATTCTCGCCTGAACATAGCCTGTGCTTTTTTGATTTCTATTATGTTTTCATTTGAAATGTTTCGTTTTAATTTGTTCCACATTTGGTTCCTTTTTTGTTTAAGTTCTTGTAAAGTTGTGTTCCACCAAGGTACTGAGTGTTTCCTATTCTTGAGTATTTGGGGAATTGATACATTGGCGCTTTGCAGGATAATTTTTTGAATATTGGCAGCTTCTTTGTTAAAATTTTTGCTAAAGGGTCTTGCATCACTTAGGCGTTCTGCCAGAAGTTTAAATTGTTGCCAATTTGCTTTGCTTAGATTGAAGTTGGGCTTACTTATGCTACTTTCGGTTGGTTGGGTAGGAAAAAGTGTTATTAGGATAGGGAAGTGGTCGCTTCCAAAGAGGTTTGATTCTATTTTCCAATCGTGTTGGAGTGCGAGAATTGGGGAAGAAATAGAAAGTTCAATATGTGTGAAAGTGTGGCGTGTGGAGTAGTGAGTGGGTGAACCGTCGTTGAGAAGTGTGAGCATAGATTTGATTAAAAATTTAGAAATAGTATTTCGTCTATAGTTACTCTTATTCGAGCCCCAACTGGTATGCCAGCTATTGAAATCTCCTGTGATAAGTATTGGTATCCTAGAGGGTGGAAATATATCATTTAGGTTTTTACTGGTGAAAGGTGTGTTTGGTGAAATATAAATTGAGCTAATTGTGAATTTGATTTTAGACTGAATGGTTTCATTGACAATGTCGAAATTGTTTGGGCTATTGTTTAAACGTTGATGTTGCAGAGAGTTATGGATTAGTATGGCAGAACCGTCAAATGAGTTATGAGGGTGGGGGGAGGTGTATAGTTGGTAATTAATTGGTATAGGTACCTTTTGGTTTTTACATATATGTGTTTCCTGAAGAGAGATAACTTTGGGTTGGTACTTTTTTAAGAGAAGTTGTAGGTCTATGTAGTTATTTATATACCCGTTAATGTTCCATTGTAATACTGTAAGAGACATGATATTTTGTTAAGAGTGAGTTAATATTATGTGTGGAGTAAGAGCCCGAACACAATGAAAACGACGAGCTACGGACCACAGCTGTCAAATTATTTTTCCACGTATTCTTATGTAGATAATTATTTTGGCGACGACAGGGCTACGCGACAAATAGATAAAATTGTAGCTGTAGCCGTATTAGATCTAATTCTATTTTGACAAGTCACAAAGGCTGTCTTCTTCTTCTTTTGTCATTGTGCTTTTTCTATTTTCGTTTACATTTCGCGCGTGCTTATTGAATATTCGCCTTGATTTTATAAATAATTGGATAATTAAAATGGATTTCGACGAATTATTAATTGAGGAAGTTCGGAAGCGTCCAATTATTTATAATTTGGAGTTGGAGGATTATAAGAATATCAAAAAGAAGGAAGCTGCATGGAGGGAGGTAGCAATTAGTGCACAATTAGACGGTAAGTGAATATAATATATGTATTCCAAAATGATTTATATTATGTACATAAGTGTAAATATTTATACGTTGTAGAGGTACAGTGCAAGAAGCGATGGAAGGGACTGCGCGATTGCTACAAACGCTGCAAAAGGGCAGAGCAGGTTGCGTCGGGAAGCGGTGCTACATCTCCAAAAACTAAATGGCGGCACAAAGAAGCTATGTCATTTTTAGAGGGTGTTAAGAGCACAAGAACGTAAGTACATATATAATTCATGCAAGGCGATTTAGACTAGTTTAATAGTGTATATTTTGTAATTAAAAAGAACGATTGGAAGCTTGCCCAAGGACTTCGAAGAATGTAACACATCCACATACACAGATGTGGACGAAGAGAGCACCGCAATCTCTGAAACCCCATCGTCCAGTTCACGGAGAAGAAAGGTATGTATAGTTATATTATTCAGTTGGTTGCTTACATGATTGTTTAATTGTAAACTGTTTGGTTGCACAAGTACGTTGTGGACTTGATGCTACTTACCTTCACTAATTGAATGTTGTGCTAGCGTACATTTTTCCCATTATTTTCAGTAGTGCAGTAGCACGTTAAATAAACAAGTTCACTACTCACTTGTTCAATCAAACAGTTGAAAGTTTCACTATTCCATAAAAAAGCTAGAAGGACTTAAAGTTTAGTGAACAACGGATATACTAATTTAATGATAATACACTATTCAATAGGAAGACGATAAAAACAAGTTCCATGAGTTTCTTGAATTAGCGGCGTCAAATATATCCCATGTTTGCTCTGAGTTCAGTTCAGAGAGGCAGGAGCAAGACAGCACTGCTCTACACTTTTTAAGTTTATCGAAAAAATTAAGGAAGCTGGTTTGCCAACAAATATTGTAAACCGGATTGAAGCCAGAGTGTCGAGTCTGGTCTTTTCGGAGATCCAATCGCACTTGGAAACAATAGAAGCAGAATTCTATTACGAAGGAGATTAAAATGCAGGTATGGTAATTAATTGCTCATATTTTTCTTCTATTTATGAAGCTCTCTTCTTAATTTTCCATACAGCCCATTGGATATTTGCGCAGTGAACACACATAGTTTTAGGAGTTTAATGAAATGTGCCTTATAAAATTTTAAGTTATTTATTCCACAATGTTTTATTTTACATGTATTTGCACATGGATGCAGCATGTTGTAATAAGTACATGTCACCCACGTTCTACAAAAGTGTATTAACTGATATGGTTTACATTACACCACAACTTTTTTTTTGAGTTATGCGAGGAATGAGAAACTTGGACTTAATACACATTTGTTGAATGCATGCGATATGTGCATATGTATGAACTCATGTTTTGTACTGAAATTTGTTACTTTGTTTAATGTTAATTATTTATTTTAATTGTATAGCTCATTCCCTAAGAAGACCATATACATCCAAATTTCAAACTTGATGCAAAATTTTTTGTAAAAGTTTGAAATTTTGATGTATGTATATTAGACTGCATCACTTACCATATAAAATTGGTAACGGATCATAATAATGAGATTTTTGATGCTGTTTTTGAATTTTTTTCAAATACTGGTTTAAGAAAAACTTGAATAACTCAGCAAAAACTTTACCAACTTAGACTTATGAGGTATCATTGGTAAGATATTTTCTCACCCATTTTATTTCTTTGTAAATAAGCTCATTCAAATTATGTGAGAGGAGGGTAAGATAAAGGAGTGCCATTTTATGTTGAATTAAGATGTGTTGGTAATTTGATAAAGAAAAAATTGGAACGAGAATGAGTGTTTTTGCAAATAAATAAAAAGGTAGAGAAAATACCTTTCCACTGATACCTCATAAGTCCATGTCGGTAAAGTTTTTGCTGAGTTATTCAAGTTTTTCTTAAACAAATCTTTGAAAAAAGTTAAAAAAAACAGCTTCAAAAATCGCATTATGATTCCGCTGAAATTTTTTTTAATATTTTTATGTAGATTTTTTAAGCTTAATCTGTTTTGTCATCTAAGACATTTTTTCCAAAAAATCCTTTAAGAAACTATTTTTTTCATAAAAAAAACTCCATTTTTAGAGGTATTTTCAAACCGGTCCAGCTCACGTAAATCTTAATATTTTTCCTAAATATTTTGTTAAAATCTTAAAATATAATACATTTTGTAACCCCCCCGAAAAAACCGAAATTTTGTTTGGTGTTGCAGTCTAATGTATATGGTTTCCTTGGAAAATGAGCTATACTTTTATAATAAATACTAAACATTAAACGAACTAAAGAAAGATGGTCAGTTTTGGCTATATTTTTTTTTTGTATTCGAGCTTTAATATTTTCTTATAAAAGTCCAGTGCATTATATAACAAGCACCATATAAATCCACACTTGCAACCTAGTACAAAAATTGTAAGAATTCAACAAATTTTACCAAAATCATCCAAAAATTTTAAACTTTTTATTCAGAATTTATAGAAAAATTTTGGGTACGCAGTTTTTTAGCCCATTAAATTGTAGTTGGTTAAAGTGTAAATTTCAAGGCGCTTTGATTTTTAATAATTTTTTTTGCTGATAGTGCTAGGCATTTTCTTCCATACAAATGTAGTTGTCGAGTATATTTTATATGGAAGAATATGCACAAGACCGCCAGCCACAATTCTAATGCTAAAAATTCTGAATAAAAAGTTTGAAATTTTTGTATGATTTTGGTAAAATTTGTTGAGTTTTATAATATATATATTTTTATATATATACATATATAGTATAGTAATTATTAAAATTAACTAAAAATAACAAGTAGTCAATACTTATTAATATGTCCGCACCCTTATCATTACACTGTACAGTACTCGGCTGGGTATTGGACCAAACCAACTTTTTTAAAGAGATTTAGTCATAAGTAAAAAAAGTTAGTTCTCCGTTTTTCGAAGTTAGCCTCCGAAATCGAGATATGGCCTTCGAAGTTCGAAATTGGACCTTTGGTAAAAAATTATTTTTAATTATTACCAAAGGTCCTCTTTCGAACTTCGAAGGCCCATATCTCAATTTCGGAGGCTAACTTCGAAAAATGGAGAAATCACTTTTTTTTACCTATGACTCAATCTCTTAAAAAAAATTGGTTTGGTCCAATACCCAGAAAAAAATTGATTTTGCCGTGCAGTGTTATAATATAAATAATATAGTCATTTCAATACCTTTATCTGGTCGATCTCAATGGTTGTAGAACAACTAATTTTTAATTTTGTAATAAATAAATATGTACTGTTGTTTTATACTATTAATTATTTTTCAGAAAATTTATTGAGGTAAATGCGTAAGTATAATTTATGATGAGTTATTATTTAAAAAGTCTTTAAGAGTGTTCCGCAAATGAAAAGCGCTGGAAGATGACCGGTTAACAAATCTTTGTTGAAAAGATTGCAACGGATTTGTTTCGCTTCTCCACCGACCATGGTACTCGCGATTGTTGTAAGTACGATCAACTAATTCTAGTTGGAAGTAATTGCGATCATTTTGAAGCATTAAAAAGTTATGAAGTACAATTATGGCCAAGACAATCTTATCCGCATTACTAGGAGAAGCACTAATACGTGTATGCAGAATTCTCCACCGGTTGGCTAAAATACCGAAAGCGTTTTCAATATGAACCCGAGCCTTAGACAACATTGTGTTGAACCTGTCCTTGTCTGGCGTTAAATTATGCCCTGGAAATGGTCGCATTAAATTTGGTCTAAGTGGGAATGCGCTGTCTCCCACGAAGTAATGTGGAAAGAGATTCATCGTGGCTGGTAAATATGCATCACCAGGAACATTTAAAGTTCCGTCTAAAATTTGTTTCCCGAAGCTGCTTCGCGCAAACACGCCTCCATCGCTTTGGCTTCCCAAAGCACCGACATCCACATACGTAAAAACATAGTTTGCATCACATGCAGCCATCAACACGATGCTAAATGTCTTTTTGTAATTATAGTACAAAGAGCCACTATTCGCAGGACGGGTTATATGTATATGTTTACCGTCAATTGCTCCCAAGCAATTAGGCATACCCGTTTTTATGTAGAACTTCTCCGCGATAGTTTTCAGTTCCGTTGTGTTTGGAGGCGATACATATATTTCATGCAATTCGCTCCAAATAGCATCACAAGTTTCGTATATTATTTTACGAACCGTTGAAATACCCAATTTAAATGTCCAAGCCAGGACATGAATGTTGCATCCTTGTGCCAAATAACTGAAAATACCAAATGTATAAATGTATGTAAAATGAAAATCGACATACACACATACATATGTATTTCGTAAATACTTATTATCATGCTTACAATATTGTTACGGCCAGCCGGGTTTCTGGGTCTATCGCTTCTCTATTGGAGTATTTCTGCAACTTTTCCTTCAAAATGGATAGCAAGCAGTCGAAATTTGCAACACTCATTCTCGTCGCCTTGAAGAAGTGTTCTTCATCTCTACCTTTCAGCTGTTGAAGGCAAACCATGAAAAAACCTTCCTCCTCCCGGGTTAAATTCACAGGACGCACCCACCATCTTCTCCTGTTTTTATTAAGCTCACTGTACGCCTCATATGCGAAATGTACAATTTGTACAATTTTAGCAATTGCAGTCGTAAACTGTATTAAACGCAAGGGATTATTCATTACTCCTGTAATCAATGATAATATATATGAAAGATTTGAAAAATATTAATGATTTATGCGTATTTACCAGATATTTATCGAAAATTGGAACGAAATTAATATAAAATTTTTCTCACGAAATCGCAGCAAATACGTTTAAAACACAAATGTCAAATAAAATATGGCGGGAGAAGTTGTAGCTAGCGCAGTCATTGTAATCAAGTAGCCGACGACGGGAGCAAAGATAATGCAGATAAAACGCTATTGTCGTGTGGTCAGTCGTCAGTCGCGTCCTAAGTGTGCAAAGCATAATTAGTAAAGAGAAAAAGATTATAATAAATGCGAGTATGATTTGCAGATTTGCTTTTCCATAACGAACCTGTCAGAGCCATCTGTTATTTCACGGCTGATGCTTTTCTCTTCCAGTGTTTGAGTTGTTGATTTTTTTTGGTTTTAGATTTAACTTTCGCTTTGAGTTGCTTTATTGTGCGGTTCGAGGTATTTTTTGGGAAAATCCTAAGTTTTGTTTCTGTTATGCGAGTAGAGTCGTAGTTTCCAAATGTTGCTTGCAGAAGGTCCACAGATGTGTTTTTTTGGCTGTAAGTTTGAGTGTTATATGAGTGCTCAGCTGTTTCAGCGATTGCTTTTGGAAGTATACTAGGGATGTTGTTATCGTCGTTAAAGTGATAGTTGTCTTGAGCACATTTAGATTGAGTGGATTGTGTAGGGGCAGTGGTCGGGCTGTTAGCCAGTGAGTACTCAGTTGAGTGGATCGAGTTATTAATTGTTTTGTTTTGTTTGGAATTTGTTGGAAGCGATGAGAGATCTTCGAGTGAACTGTAGTTTGTAGGTTGTCTAATAGCATTAGAATAAGTATTTGACTGACGATGCTGCTCTTTGTATATTGTGAACGCTGTTTTATTGTCCACTTTGCGGAGAGTTTTTATTGCTTGTATTTCTTTTTGTTTAATGAAAATTGGACAAATTTTGTTATATGGTGAATGGTCGACGGGAGATTCGTAGTTATCTTTGCAATTATCACAGGCAGGCGTGTTGTTGCATTTTTCGTTAGTATCAGGCGTGGTATGAAATATTGAGGTACAATTTGGGCACAGTTTTTGATTTCTGCAAAATTTAGTGATACGACCAAACCGATCACAGTTTTTGCAACAGAGTGGCAAAGGAATGTATGGTCGTATGTTGAGTTTTTCGTAGCCGATCGAAATAGTGTCAGGTAGCGTAAGTGTCGAAAACGTGAGAATTAGGAGGTAGGTCTTATTAAAGTGTCATTGCTGTTGTTTTCTCTTTTCATAATTTTCTTCACTTCGGTAACGCGTTGTTGTTTTAGTTCGTTTAAGATTTCTTCTGGTATTCCGCGCAAATCACTGCAATAAATTACACCTTTGGTATAATTTAGGCTGGTGTGCGGGGTCACCTATACTTGTATGCTGGGAGTAAGTGATATTAGTTTTACAAGTTTGTCAGCTTGCGTAAAGTTTTTCGTTTTTATAAGAATATCGCCACTTCGCAATTTTTTGCACATTTTTCTCCACATGCACTGTCTATCACTTTTTTTTATTAGAAA